TCAAAAGCTTAGTCTAAGAATTATATAATGCAGCTACTAAAATGTGTATGTAATAAATTTGACCTTTGAACATTCATATTTATTATTGTTTTCATTCTGACTTTTTTATTAGACAGCATATGACCAGTAGACAAGAGGTGAAGAAAGTACAAGACTCCCTGCAGGTTTTGCTTTGGAGTCTTTCTCGTGATCTTTCTGGACACACAGAGAAATGCCAAGAAGTAAGGGCAGCAAAGAGGAAGCAACATTTTTGCTGATAAGTTTTGATCTCTCTGCAATGAAATACAGAAAGTGAAATGATCAACATCACTGCTAAAACTATAAATTTTACTTTATTTAGCTGATAGTAGGCCGATATTAAAAATCTTGGCTTCAAAAATGTGAACTTAATTTAAAAAGACAAGTGAAAATTTAACAGAGAAGAAGCCATTTAGATATGTGAGAAGTAGGAGATTATAACTGGTAGACTTTTTAAGGTAGCATATATTAAATACTGATACAGAACAGGCACACCGCTAAAATACCTTACATTTACGCAGGTCAGTACGAGGCATTCATTTTTCACGGGCTTTGGTAAAACTGTTTTTACTTCGCATTTTGAATTGGGGCCAAGGTGGCAAATCTTAATTGAATTGAGGTGCAAGTTGAAAAACAGCAAGAGACGGTCACTTCTAGCAATGGGCAAGTCACAGGCGCAGCTCACAGATCATTTGAAATAATGCTTGTCAATAATGCTCAAGCTGCCCTTCACATCGAGGTGGTTGAGAATCAGCATTTCAGAGGACAGTGCTCTTGTGTGCCTTACAGAAAGACCATTCACGCCACTGAAGTCACACTCAAAAATAGCCCACAGCACAGAGGAAACAGTTATCGGGATTCCTCTCATTTTTGCCCTAGGAAAGCATGTCTCTGAGACTCATCTCAGACACCTTTCTGGCTTGATGAACTACTACCTAGAGATTTCTCAATGAGCTCTTGAGAATTTGTGGGCAGATTCCCTCTAGCTGGGGATGAGCCGAGAGCTGGTTGTCACTAAATCTGTGTTACCTCTCTCTCGGACACAATTGAGTATCCTTGCTCAGAACAGTAGACCACCGACCCACCTGGTCTGTTTATGGAGCTAATTTATGCTGGCCCCTATAAATCCTCTGCTGAGATACCCTTAACTCACTGCATGCCGTCTTCCTGTTGTGGGACTATCAGGTTTTAACTTCTCTAACTCATTTCCAGTCGAGTTGTTATTGTGATACTTTCATCTTCAAGCCGCTAAGAAGTGCTCCGTGGTATCAAAAGAAGCAAGGTTACTTTGACTCTAGCTCTATTTAGACATTGTGATGCACCTTAAAAGTCTTGAAAGTAGTTCTGGATTTTTTTTAAACCCTCTTGAATTTAAGGATTTTAATTTCTAGTCATTGCACAAGAATTCCTGATTTTAAATGTCTTCCTTGATTGACTCTGGGAAGAGTTTCAGTTTTTATTTTACTATTTGTGTTTTCATTCATCCTTAGTATTGGTGGTAGAAAGAATAGAAGAACAGGAACCAAAAGTGTATCAATACTTTTTTCAAGGAAAAAGCACGGCCATACTGTTCTTCTATGCCTGTTGCAACATTGCTTACCTGCTCTATGTTGCATGATACTACCTTGCCTTGTATGCATATGAGATCATTTGTGGGAATGTTCCTGAAATAATGATAAATGACCTGAATCCAGAGGAAAACGTATGTATTTCCACTTAGTCTCAACTGTCGGTATTTAACATAGATCTTTTAAGACAGTGAGCTGAACATAGAGCCAGGTTTCATAAAAACAATCAAACTCGGTGTTTTATTTTCGGGTGGTCCATTCATTGATATTTAAGAAATGGGCTACGTAAAGCTATGGTTTTCCCAAGGAAAGACTGAGAAAAAGGAAAATGTCGGCATTATATTATCTTGAATTATTGTTTAGGAATGTTTAGACTGTGTCTCTTTGAGAGGAGCTCTTCAGAGTATGTGTTCTGGACTGCCTTCCCCCGAATTCAAGCTCTAGCTCTGCTTTCCACAAGCACAGCAGTAACCGCAGTACTTGCGCATGGGGTCGTCCTGAAGAACGAGTGAAGTCCTTCACGTACACCTCTCAGAGCTGTGACTGCTGTCACATAGTAAGCTTCCGGGATATGATAGCCATTACTTTCGGACTGAAGTGAAACCCCCTGGGAATGTGGAAATGCGAAGGGGGCTCCCGGCTTGCACCCAACCCGCAATATCCACTTTGTCACAATATCTGCCGTTGTACGGATGCAGGCCCATCACCAGCAAACCCAGCGGCAGCTCTCCATCATCTACATGCCTGAATTCTTAAAAAACCGAAATGGAACTCCTTCCCACTTCCAGTGACATTAAGAACGGCAGAGGGAGGGAGGCCAATGGAAGGAAGCGGAGGTGATGGCCGTGCAGGGTCTGTGAGGTCAGGTGAGGTGGTGGGCCCAGGGCTCACTGGAGAGCCAGTCAGGAGCCTCAGAGAGCATGCCAGAGAAAGGTTGGTTGAATACAAAGTACGTCTGCTCTGGCTTTGCTGAACGCTTGTCACAATGCAAAAAGAGCTGTCAGTCCTCATTCCTAAGAATCTACTGAGTGTCGGGGAAGAAGGGAGAAAATGCAAATGTGAGATCTTTATACTTGAGGAGCTACAACCTAGTGAAGGGATGTCAAACTCATTTTCACATCAGCCTTGTGGTTGCCTTCAAAGGGCCGAATGTAATTTTAGGACTGCATAAATGTAACTATTGCTTAACAGTTAAGCGAGAGCTTGGTGCTGTTGCTGGGTAGAAACGAGGTGTTGGGCTGGATAAAACAAGGTGGAGGGCTGGATTCGGCCCGGGGGCCTTGTGTTTCCCACCTGTGGCCTGGTGGGAAATGGACCAGTGTGTAAGTAACTGTCATACAGTCTGGCTGAGTCTTATTTATCAAGTGCTATGGGGATGAGGGGTTGCAGCAAAGGAAGGAACTAACTGTAGAGGAAGTGGGGGAGTCACACAGAGGATGTAAGAACGTACCATTGGGAGAACAGGGAGGGCAGGCAGTGCAGGGAGCTGCCTCTGCAGGGGCAGGGCTGGAGGATCATGGACCATGTTTGTTAGTCTGATGTTTAGGCTCCAATTGTAAAAGCCCATCTCTGCCTTTTAGAGATCAGGATTGGCTCTTGAACAATGGGAGTCTTCCCAAGACTGGTTGCTTCCCTAGGAAAAGTCTCATTAGCATTCTTATGAATATTTGTAATCTAATTTTATTCAGAAAAAAAATAAAGCAAGGTCCTAAGTAAATAATATTTTATCACGATCGGATAGTAATAGACTCTGGAAGCTTTCTTTCTTCAGAATCATGCCCAGCAGAGACAAATAAATAAATAAAGGCCTTTGTTGCACTTGAATGTCAACCTTGCTAAGTGCTTTATTCATAACAATTAGTGTAAATGGGAAATAAGTGTATCCTTTCACCACTAAATTTACTATTTGCCCCCATTTATCTTGGCATGCTTTTTTATGAGTATTCACTGTGTCAAGGGCTGAGCGTGTTTCTGTAGAGGACCAACTTCTTCAGAGGATGAATTGCTTACAAAGGTTGTGGTTGCTGTCACAGCCTCATGGCGTTTTGGGGTTGGAAGGACTTCTGAAGGTCACGGGGCCGAGTTTTCACCTAGTGCAGGATTGCTTTATATTACACTCCGTGCAGGGAGCCAGCGAGGCAGGGGTGGTGGGGGCCAGGCGGGGACGGGGAGCGAGCAAGGAAAAGCTCTTCCTGCAAATGTGTGGGACAAGGAGTTGAGAGTTTCTCAAGACAGATCATTCTGTTTTTTATGTCTGTGATTCTTAGGCAGGATTTTCCTCGGACCTGCTTTCTTAAGAGTTATAATGGCCATGTCTGCCCTCTGGAGACCAAATGTGTAATTCTGCTTACACCTGATGACCGTTTAAATATGTCAGGATTGATTGATACCCCCTCTTTTACTGTCCCCTTTATCTTTAAGACTTGAGAAATACCTGCAGTTCCTTCAGTGTGGCGTTAGCGTGTGGACCTTCTTACTCTTTTCTCGAGTTTTGCAGCAGCCTGAACATCATTTAGGTGCGAACTTAGCATCCGCTTGCTGTCATTTTATTTGCATTTGGAAAAACCAGAGCGATAGATGTTTCTTTCTACTGAAATGTTAACTTGTACACCTAAAATGAACGGGGTTGGAAAATGCACCCATCCGGGCCAGAACTGACCCGCTCTTTAGCAAATGTGTATAATTTAAAAGAATTGAGCTATGTAGCATTGGGGCTTAAATTGAGTTAGAGTTGCCATCATATTTTTTTTCCTAAAGCATTCAAATCACTGCAATATTAAATATTTTAAAAACATAATTTAAGCATTTTGGACACCACGTAGTAATAACTCAGTCCCAAACTCAGTTCAGGGTCACAAACTGTGGGTTGAGGTTTGAACTTCGGTTTTCTTCTGACTTTGCCTGTCACGCTGACACTTCTGCACATGTTTTTTTTTCTGCAACTCAATGAAAAGCCAACAAAATGGAAATGTTCTTCTCCCCACAGTACCTTGGCTGAAAATTTAGGTTATTTGGGACAGTGTCTGAAGTCTTTTAAGGGGCCACTTACTGTGCTATCTCTGCTCTGTGTTGAGCTCTCCCCTTACCTAGACGCCGGAATCTGAGTCATGAAATCCTTTTCCATTGTGTATGTTCTGGTTGACTGCTGTCGCATGGGCTGTGAGTTTGGGCCCCAGCAGTCATCCTCTGAGTAAGCATGATGGAAAATTGCCGTAAAGACTCGTGTAACAAAAGGTGTAACCAACTTCTGATTTGCAATGCCTGACTTCTCTTGAATGGCATTTCTTTCTTTCCTGAAACACAGGATGAGGCATGACACCACCTATCAAATCACAGTCTCATTGCTGGGTATTTTCTATGTAACGTACGCTTTGTTTTCTCGTCCATTCATTCTTTTTCTTTTTTTCTCAAAAGGCGCTTAAACAGAAATCACCTTCAGCTGTTTCCTGAGTTGCTGTTTCTTGGGACTTCGAAGCTCTACAGGCTGTAAGTGGACTGAAACACTTATTGTTGCTTTGGGTGGTGCCTTGCATTGTATTAAATATATTTTGGATTTATTTCAGTGTGCTTTCTTGGAATTTATTCATCACTAAATTAATGGGCTGAGAGTATGCCTTTATTTGTAATGGAAATTTATGGTTGGTTTTCCAGTGATTCCAGTTGTGGTATGTGCTGGGCACGTACTGGTTTGTGTATGTGTTCCTGTGGTTGTGTTGTTCTGCTTTTGGTTGTGTGTTGCTGGGGAGATCTACCTCACTTCTTTATGAACTCTTGTGATTGAGTTCTGAAGAGGAAGCAGGCCCCTGCACTTCCTCCTCAGAGGAAGTTGGCCATGTTTTCTTATCAAGTCAGGGGTTCTTAATGTCTGCTTCTTAAATATTGTTTTTGTGCTCGACTATATTTATTCTCGAATAAATATTCGAGAAATATTATCCTCGAGAACAAATATTCTGGAAATATTATTAAAGGGTATTTAAAAAGGGCTGTAAATTTATTCTTCTACGTTTCTTTGAAGGCCAGAATTCCAAACTCTGCCATGTGAATGGCCGTAGGGGTTTCATAGTAAGCACGTCAGTACGTCATCGACTATTAGCGGAAGTTCTTGGGAAGGAGAGTGATGTGAGTTGTAGGCAGGATCAGCTTTTTCTCCCCAAAATGCTTGTTCGCTGACCTCATGTATAATAGCGAAAACACATTTCTGAAAGCTTTTAAAATTAGATTTTCAGCCATGTGAATGATTCTGTGCAGATGGGCGATAAGCTGCAAAGTGTTGGGAAAATAAATAGCAATGATTATTGGTGTTCATGGACGTTGTGGAAAAACTGTTGGCCTGTGTAGAAGAAACTGCTCAGCACGGCCCCCACCTGCATTGTGGGAAGTCCCATAGGTTCGAGTTTGTAGGGAAAGAGAGCGGATTGCCTTCTTCTGAACTTGACTTTGTAGCCAAGTCTGTTAGTTCAGTGTTGTTATTGATTCCACCAGTAGGAAGACTGTCCTTCCACAGCCCTGCCCCCATTCCAGCCAGGGTCTCGGTGAGGTCCTCCTAATATCTTACTCACTAGACAGAACCTCGCCAGTAGGTAAAGGTGTAGCCAGCTAACCCACCTGATCGTCCTCTGGAGTCTGACTTTCCTGTACCTCTAAGGAAAGCCCAAGGCATCTGGCATTATTCCTCTACTTTGTGTTCCCTGCTGGTTAATTGGCTCAGTTTAAGTAAATTTAAAACAAAAAATCAGATAAAGCAACCCAGAGACTGCCTTTTTAATCATAATTCTTTCGGGACTAGTTTTACCAAAGGAACAGGATGTAATCTGTTGTAAAGATTATAGTATGTATATGAATTGATACTTATATTTAAATGTTTGCGCTTAGCTTCTAAGAAGGGCCATAGAAATGGGCTTAATAGTGTTCTACTGTCTGCTTTAATTTTTGTTGACTGAGGGGATCCAGAAGAATTGACCTCAAGGCTGGCTATGATGGAAACTGTTCAACTACCACTTTGCGAATAGGGTGCTTATCAAATAGGCCGCAATGTCTAGGATAGTGTCCATTTTCAAAGAAGCTGTGAAAATATAATTGAAGCAGAATGACTGCCATCTAGCATTAAAATTATTAAGCCAAAAAGTTGAAGAAACTTCAGGACTATCTCTGAGAAATAAGAATGTGTGATTTTTAGAAGTACTTGGATTAATTTTCTTAAGAGTCTTCATTTCGGGTGGTATGATCCAGTTCAGAGTTCTTTGCCAGACAAGTATATTCTGTTACCATCTTCTTTGACAATACCACATAGTGGACCAAGTGATTTTCTTTTGTGATGTGTTATAATTTTATCATTTAAGCTGCTCTATGAATGAAGGACACTTCAACTCTTAAAGAAGTAAATTAAGGAAATAGAAGCCCTAAAACTAGCAGGGGTGTCCAAGCTTTTGGCATCTCTGGGCCACACTGAAAGAAGAAAAGTTGTCTTGGGTGGCAAATTAAATACGGAAACACTAAAAAAGATTAATGAACAACCCCCCAAAAAAGGGTTTTAAGTAAATCTATGATTTTGCCTTGGGCCACATTCATTCATAGGGCTACATCCTGGGCTGCATGCGTCCCAAGGGCCATGGATTGGACACCTCTGCCGCTAAGGCCACCTTCTCTGGTTATTTTAAAGCATTTTAAACGCCGGGGACAAGGTTAGCCAGGAAATGTGTTCGGAGCTGTTGCTGTTCCTGCTGAGTGGGAAGGTTTCCCCTGGGGAGTATAGACAACGGAGTTCTGTTGGGCAGATGGGGCTGGTTGTAAGTGGGACTCATGGGCTTTGATGTTCCTGAAGTTCGAGCTTGGTGGTTCAATGTTTGCTGTGGGTTGGGGTGCGGCACCGGACACAGACACTGCACACGGGTACAAACGGGGAGGTGACACTTTTCCCCCCGACGTCCTCACATCAGGAATCTCCTGTTGAGTTGCGGCTCCACTGTCGTCTCTTCTGAATTAGACGCAGTGGATTGTTAGCAGCGATCTTTCTCTTGAGAGGAAAGCTGGTAAGCTTCACTTTTTGGTGGCGGTGACCACTAGTTAAATTAAACAGCCACCATTAAGAATCTTTAGCGAATAAAGAAACAAAGACTCGTGAAGCGGACTGCCTGGAGAGCGTCATTTCCAAGAGGAAGGAGGCACCTCACGTCTCCTTCCGATGACACAGGTGCCCAGTAGCTTGCCCAGAGCAAATGTTCTAGCAGATGGAAAAAAATGTGCACACATTTACCTAAAAACATGTTCTTTAAAATGCCCCTTTAAAAATGAATCTTTCTTTCACAGAGACAGAACAAAGATACAGGGTTTTTGACAAATCACAGGGAAATTACTTGGGGAGAGGGGAAGTATATTGCATGTACGTATGAACTGATCTGTAGCTGCCCTAGTGTACAACGTAATAAAGGCACACACATCTACAATTCATAAACACATTTAGAATTTATTTTCTCTTTATAAATTGTTACATAATGCTAATTAACATCCGTATTTCTTTTTTTTTAACTTACTGTATCTTTAACCATTATTTAATACTATCTTACCTGGTATATCACAAATAAAAACATTTCCTAGTTTAACATATAGTTCTCACACTGATGTTTGATTTTTATTTGTTTAGATCAAAGCTAGTCTGATATACTAGACATTACAGGGGTGGGCAAAAGTAGGTTTGCAATAATAATAAATACACTGATTAATAAATAATAATAATACAAGAATAAACTTCCGCATACCCATACCTGTAAGCCCACTTTTGCCTACCCCCATGTGCAGACACTTTTTGAGTGTTTGTCGCGAATAATCACCATTTGACTCTTGGCGGAACAGGAGACGCCAGGTGAAGGCTCGAGCACGTGGTGCCCTGGTCTCTCGGTGCAATATGAAAGAAAGAGAGGGCACACTGTGTATGAACTCCGATTTGACACGGCCGGTTGCCGTGAGCGGCCAAATACGCTTTTCCTTTGCTGTCTGCTCCAATTTCTCTCTGGACGGGTTGAGAGAGCACTGCCTGTTCAGGTCAACATGTTTGCGCAGAAATAGTAGTACAGTTGCAGCTGTGTTTGTTGGAGCAGGAGGCTAGTTTAAAGAGCATTACCATTTATCCAGTCCATTAACAGAACTCTGTAAAATAATACCAACTCCGCATAAACTACAGGACAGTGTAATAAAATTACAAGCACTTGTTGACAGATGGAAAGTGTAAGTAGAGGGGAAGCGAAGGGCCCTGGGTTGGAGGTTCAAAGAGACAGTACATAGTTTTCTTCGCATAGGCAGATAGTCCGTTGTCCCCTTTGCTCCTCCTCCGAAACTGAGGTTACGTTTTTATTACCAATTTAAGGGTGGAGAAAATTATTTTCAGAGCAATGTAGAGCTGGTTGACTCAGAGAGATTTCAGTGGCTTTGGAAATGGTCAATTAAGATGGATTGAAATTTGTGAGTAGCGATTATACATATGTGCAGCGTATACAAATCTTCTTGATAAATGTAACCTTAAAGGTGACTTACCGGAGTGATTCACACTTTTCAGCTTGAGTTTACAACTACTAATCTGGGCTCATTAGAGAGGAATTTCACTGGCAGTGCTGCGGTAGAGTATTTGGTTATAAATATTTGCTTTGTGGTTTTCAGTTTATTTCTTTGAGTATTATTATATTTACCCAGGCTTCTAATATAAGCTTAGGTATCCAATGCATGTAGCAAAAACTCATTTTTCATTTGTATCTACCAAAACAAAACAAAACTAAGAAAAATAAATACATAAGTCCCGATGGCTTATTTATTTTTTTTACTTCTTTAAATAAAAGCCTTTTTATTTCTGATTCACAAGAGGCATTTATTATTCCCCAGTGAGCTTTGGAACCACAAAATTATCGAACATTATAAATAGTAATTTTAAATCTAAGGACTCTTTATGGCCCAGTGACTGCTTACCTGAGACAGAGAGATTTTGACTTCTTAATCTGATTGGTCAGGTCAATTTATTTGCTGTCACGTAGGATCTTGGATTCTCAAAATTGTTTCTAATAATAATAATTGGGGCTTTTGGAGAGGGAAATTTAACTTTTTGTTTTATGAAAGTGAAAATCAATTTGCAAAGCATAATGTACATACAGTGAAGCAGTCTCTATTTCCCTTTTGCCTAGTCCAGTAGAAGGAATCTTAGCTTTTGTTTTTTAATCATTATAAGAATAGCACACATTGGTATTAAAAAGGCTTAGACAATTCAGAAAAAAGAAAAGAGGAAGTAGAAAACATTCATTATTTCATCACCCAGACATAACCACTAGTATACTTAATTATTAATTTAGTTTACTTTTTATATGACTATACATATAAATGCTGGTATATATGTATTATGAAAACATTTTGTTTTATATCCCCAAGGTCTAGTATAAGGATTGACCTTTAGAAGGCTCTCAGTAAGTGTTTGATGTATTGAATTAAATCTCTGTGGGTTCAGGGTT